TTACTTACCGTTTGCTTTCACTAGGAACAGGCAAGGAGTGGATTTCTTGGGAGGTGCACTGGATTACTTCTGGAAAAGGACAGGGATGCACTAACATTGGGGAACTGGGAGGAGATCACCGTGGGATGTTTGCACATTGAACTGTCTTTCACTGTAAATAGACACACTCACTGTGACATTTCCACCAGCAAGCTTCTGGAATAATTCTGGCTAGACAGAATCTGCTTGTCAGAATTTGTTCATTTAAATGTTTCCGTTTCCTGATGTGGACTTTTAGGCATAACCCACACATTTTCCGTAGTTAAACAATGTAAAGTAAATTAAAAACACATTTTGTCAGAAAGCTGTTTCTCTACAGTTCAGCTGTGTACTTCTTACAACATCAGTGCATCACACTTCAGTCTCAGTCTGTAATCGTTGCCTTTATCATCTGTTATCAACTGGTACATGACCTCTGTAGTGACAGGATCAATCCAGTGTTGCAGGAGTTCTCACGACAGGAATACAGCAACATCCACATGCAGTGAGAATTGTTGCACAGGCATTTTTGTAAACTGAGTTTTTCCGGGGTTTTTTTTGTTTTGTTTTTAATCCTGTCCACGTGCAGTTTTGAAAAAATATCTCTGTCCACATATAAATGCAAAAATGCAGTGAGGATTGTTATGTTGCCCTAAAAGGTCCAGGGGACGTGGGAGAGTAAAAGGTGTCGAGGCTGAAAAAAATGAGTCAAATTAAAGGTTTATTAATGTTTCTATTACTAATTAAACTAAAAGATGGTGAAACCACTGTCACATTTTAAATAAGGAAAACACCCAGGACTTGGTCACTAAACTGAAAAGATAAAAGAAAAGTTTGTCATCGAAACACACTCCTCTCCAAAGCGCAGGAGCAAACAGTCACACCGCACGCACAAAGATCACTAGCTACAAAACCAACAAAGCTCTCTGGCACTATGTGCACTAGTATTTGAAATTTCATCAGCACCAAATGATTTATTTCTTAAATTATAATGATTTCTCTGCAGTAGATTCCTGAGAAAATTTTGATATTGAGCCATTTCAGGCTTCCTGCCACACACAGAGTGCTTTCCTTGTCTGCCCACATCCATAGTGTACTCTCTGTCACCATCAGCTGCAAAGCCAACAAACTGTGCATATCTTCATAGACTCATTCATAAAGCAGACAGCAGCCTTAGTGCCGACTGCAGTTCAAAATGAAAGAAGCTGCAAGTGTTTGACACACAGCAGGAATATTTCAGGAAATCATTAGGAGTCATTTCTATGATGCTCTGAATCTCTTTTATTTAGCTAACAACAGCTTTTACTCTGAAACAGCTGAAATGAAACCGGATCCGGACAAACCCACAACACTTACATCTCTGCTGTCACAGATCACAACAGCTGAAAGTGAAAGTTTCTGTTTGTTTTTTGTTTGCACTATAAATAAGTTGTCTATGAATTTTTACTGTTATTCTTCTGTCCAATTGATATAAAACAAAAACAACAAACAAAAACATAATCAGCACAAATAATTGTCAGCAATAAGCAGATTAAGATTTTTTTTTTAATATTTTTAAATCCTGCATTAATGTAAAAAAAAATATTTTAACAAATTGCACCATGTTTGTAGGCTATAAAGAGGAGATCAATATTTAAAACAGTGTGATTATGATCATCTGTACTTTTCAGTGTTGAACAGAAGTGCTGCTGTGCTGTTGAGAAAGGTTTGATGGGCTCAGTTTGAAGTTCCTTTGAAAGAGAGAAAAACATGTTTTGCAGCTTTCACTTTCATTTCTAAACTCCCAATGCTTTATTCAAAGTAAATATGAAATCATGAACTTAAAACTGTCATGGCTGTGTGCAGGCAGGCAGGGAGGAAGGACTCACTGAGGCAAAGTTGAACTCAAAATAAACAGCTTTATTGTGGGTTGCAGATTGAACAGAAGGCTAACTATACTAAGGGAAAAGTAAGCTAACAGGCAGGCAAAACAGGCAATGGAACACACAGCAAAATCAGAGGGTGAGCGGACGTTAACGACGCAACGGAGGACAAAGGAAACACAGGGCTTATATACACAGGGGAGTAATCCACGAATTCAAGAAACTGATTTCGCTCAAGTGAATTTCTATTGTTACACATGCTTTTAGTTTCATCCTTCAGTATCATCCAACTTTCATCAGTGGAATGTCATCCATCTAGAGTTTTGTGTCACATCTTACAACACCTTTGCTGTCTGGTTGGATTCCTTGATTTTTGCTCAGGTCTATCTCTCACTTTCATTTCTGAACTCTGACGCTTAATTTCTCATTCTTCAGGTGTTGCTCCACCTCTGTCCGCAGATAAGAGCCAGTGTTAAATGTGATCTTAGTCAACTGAATTTTGACCTCTCCCTGCAGTGGCTTCAGGTACTTTTGGACCTTCAGTTGTGGTAACAGGTGTGCTTTTTTTCAGGGTAGAATTATTGTAAAAAATGTAAAAAGTAAATTACAAACACATTTTGTCAGAAAAGGGTTTCTCTACAATTCAGCTTCGCACTTCTTACAACATCAGTGTGTTACACTTCAGTCAGATTTCTGTAATACACATAATTAACAGTTCACTTTATCAAGCCATAGATGGCCATAGTCTGTTATCTTCACCTTCGTCATCCATTATTAACTGGTACATGACCTTCGTAGTGGCAGCATCAGTCTAGTGTTGCAGCACTTGTTCATGCCAGAAATACAGCAACTTCCACACGCAGTGAGGATTGTTCCGTTTCCTAAAAGTTCCAGGAAGCCGCCATCACCTTAAACCAGGAGTTAGTCACTAAACTGAAAAGATTAAAAAAAAGGTTAGTCACCGAAACACACTCCTCTCCACAGAGCGGAGCAAACAGCCACACTACACGCACATAGATCACTAGCTACAAAGACAGCAAGGCTCTCTGGTACTAGGTATTCTTAATTACTGATTAGAGTCAGCAAATGTGTACAACAAATGTGGCACCTAAGGCAGAAGAGATGACCATAAATGACCACACAAGACCAATTTCACAAGAGGCCCTGCTAGGGCCGTAACAGACCCTCCCATAAATACAAAAAAGTGGTCAGTCACATAGGGTCCTACACAGTGCAATAAGCAAACCAATTAATTAAACCTGCTTCATCATATCACAACCAAATTTTGAATATACTACATACCACACCTTATATTAACAATTAGGCATAGCCTGTGGAATCTGCCAACACGTTCTCAATGGGTCCAAAACACTGAATGAAAACACTGAATGAAAAACACAGACTCTATTTTGGCAGACAAAATAGAGTCTGCCAAGAGCTCTTTGAGCCAACACATATGGAGAACGCTTGGGGCTGCTAATAGACCTTACTGAAACACTTTTTGAGGTTGGGGTATACACAATCTGTCACATTGCAGGTCATTCGGAGGGACCCAGAAGATGGTCAACAGGTGGCAGCTCAGAGTTAGTCGACCTCTGACATTGATCACATGACACCATTGAACAATTATGGTCCAAATGTGACTTTTTACTAGGCTTGGCTTCTTTGTCAGTTCTGGACCCACAACTCTCTTTTTTCAAGCCAGAGCCTTTTTGCATAGAATGTGCTTTTTGCTTGAGTTTAAGTTTCAAACAGCCAGTAACAATGTGGCCAGGTTTGTGGCAGAAGAAAGTTTTACTTTGGGTCTTGAACCCACAACCGTATCAGCCTTCACAACTGGCACACTCAAAGCACTCCAAAGTATATTATGGTGAGAAGGGATGTCACATTCTACAGCATTTATATTGTCAGTTAACAAAAATTCATCTGCCAGCATGGCAGCCTGCTGTAAAGCTGGAAACCCTTTGTTCACTTACATAAAAAGCAATACACTCAGGCACAGTTCTTGAATTCCTCCACAAGCATTAGCTCACATGACAAAGCCAAATCATTAGCCATCTTCCTTCTCTGTAGCAAAGTCAAGGTAAGATTGGTCCCGTGTCCTTTTTAAAAATTTAAAATTCTGCATATAGGCTTCAAGTACAAGTTTATAGGCTTTCAGGACAGCACTTTTAAGATTTTCATAAACTAAACACCCTTCACAGACATAGCAGAACAAGCTTCCTGAGCCTTACCTGTCAACTTACACAGCAACATTACACACCATATGTCTTGATGCCACTGCAGTGCAGGATTACTCTGAAAATAAGAAAGGAAAAACAAAAAAAGAGCCGAAACAAAACCTTAAGAAGCTCTGCTGGACACTCACCTAACATAACTGGGATGTTATATTTTCCAAAATGTAACACTATCAGCCACCTACAACCAAAATTTTCAAAAACCAAATACTGCCAAATCGAAACGTCCTTTCCAGAGATCACGGACGAGCCCCCACTTATGTTACAACCCACTAAACAGCAAATATGTTACCTGGCACAGGGTTGAACACAAAGTGGAAAAGAATAATTATTAAACACTGCATAGTTAACATTAGTAGAATATAGGTTTTTATTTTGTCTTGGTGGTGCTGTCACTTGGTGTTCGCTCACTCTGCGGTAGAGTATCACTTCCTGTTCCTGCTCAAACACAGTGGTGTTTTTGAGTAGCTTATCTGCTTAGCAATTTAATTAAAAACTTTTAGATACATTCTTTTTTCATAGTATAATCTTCACGTGCTTCACACACTTTCTGTGTGCTCACTACCTAATTTATAGCCAAGGTATTCACTCACTGTGTCTGTACTGTTTCGCTAGCTTAGCTTAGCTCGTAGCCGACTCGCTAGCACCATGGCTACTTCACCTGTCCCTTCTGCACTTTCCTGCTCATTGTGTCAGATGTTTAGTTACACCTCTGCTTCCTTTAGCAGTAATGATACTTGTAACAAATGTAGCATATTTGCAGCTCTGGAGGCCAGGATTACTCAATTGGAGACTCGGCTTCACAGCCTTCATTCACCTGTAGCTACCCAGGCCCCTGTAGCTGGTGCAGCCGAAGATAGCGTAGGCCCCGCTAGCTGTTCCCCGGCAGACCCCAAGCAGCTGGGGAAAGAGGGCGGCTGGGTGACGGTGAGGACGAAGCATAGATCTAAACAGAAGTCCCAGGTACACCACCAACCTGTTCATGTGTCTAACCGTTTTTCCCCACTCGGACACACCAGCCTGGTAATTGGTGATTCTGTTCTGAGACATGTGAAGCTAGAGACACCGACAACCATAGTCAATTGTGTTCCAGGGAAGGCTATATTGAGGAAATTTAAAACAGCTAGCTAAGGGTAAACATAAATTCAGTAAAATCATAATTCACGTTGGCTGTAATGACACACGGTTACGCCATCGGACATCACTAAAATCAATATTGAATCAGTGTGTAACTTTGCCAAAACAATGTCGGACCAGGAGTGACATGTTTAGCCGCATGTTCTCCTTAAATTGCTGGCTGTCTGAGTGGTGTCCCAGAAACAATGTGGGCTTCATAGATAATTGGCAAACCTTCTGGAGGAAACCTGG